GGAATGCCAGCTGGATTTGGGAGCTAGGTTTGGCTCCAGGACTGCTGTTGGGGCCAGGTAGCAGGAGAGGCCTCCCCAGAGGACGTGCACCACCAAGGACTATTTTGAGCACCCAACCTGTCTCCACCACCCCACTCACCACAGCTGCATTTAGCAGAACAAGGCATCAGAAACTCCACTTATAGTCTGGGGACTGGAATGGAAAGGTCAGGGGAGGAATCAGTGTCACGTTGACCAGATGTCCCCGTGCTCAGACACCTCCTCACACACAGACAGGTCCTGGCACCACCAGCAGCACCAGAGCTCGCTGCATGAAGTCCAGCCTCCTCTGACCACCATCGGCCTAGCTCCGGATTCCCAGGTGGGAAGATCCCTTTGGACACACAGGTAACTGCAGCTCCCCAGTGGCCTGGTGAGTGCTCTCAGCCCCGTGCCCTCCACAACAGCTCCCTCCAGCAGCACCAGTGCAACGTGTCTTCACTCGTGCCGTCTTAATTGTGAGGGAAACAGATACAGGATCATGGAATCCCAGCCTCAGCACCCTTACAGGGAAGAGCTTCTTCCTTCATCCTCCTCAATGCAAACAGAATAACCCCTCCAGGAGCTGGTTAGAAAAAGGGGAATCTTGACCCAATGTGTATTCCCAAATCCAAGTGCTGCCACGGTATTTAGCAACCTGTGGGTACATCCTGATGATCAAGGCCAGGTTGGACACAGGGGCTTGGAGCAACCTGCTCTAGTGGAAGGTGTCCCTGCCCGGGGCAGGGCTTGGAGCTGGAGGAGTTTTAAGGTCCCTTCAACACAAACCATTCCATGATTCCATGATGTTAGTGACTGTCCATCCCAAGCTGCCTCACTGACACACTGTCCAGCCAAGCTCCGATGCCTCCCTCAGCTCCTCCTCACCCCGCTGGCTCCTCTCCTCCTGCTTCCCAGCATTCCCACTGCAGCATCCCAGCCACTCGCCAGCCCCATCAGTCCCTCCCAGTGACACTTCCCCCCCTGCAGGTCC